AGCCAGGTTCAGCACTTGAACTGTAGCCGGCCATGTGGGAGACCAGCACTTCAACCACCATGCCACCTGCTGGTTCCAAGAAAGTTTTTGTTTTGTTTTTTAAATAGGGAATCTATCTGAATCTTAAGCTGTCTTACTACATGCTCTATTCTTTTTCTGCAAGCTGGAGCTGTCCAGTAATTTGAAACATAAGAATCAGTGAGATCTAGACTATTACATCATCAATAACCCAACATTCTTTCCTAAGGAGTTAGCCTTTGCCTGAATTATTTAGACCTGGGGCCTTTTAGGGAGGAAGAGTGACATTATTTGTTCTACATCTGAAACTGGTTTATATCTGCCTGAAGCCAGCCTAGAGACATCCAAATCCCTTTTGTCTGTGAGTGAATTGGAAATAAATCTGGGTGATGAACCTGATCACTACATCATTGCACAGGAAATCTTCTCATTCTTATGAAAGTGCCTCTATTATACCATTTTTGTGGGATGAGAAGGAAAAATAGTCATCATTGTTTCTTTCCTCCTGGGTACTATAAACATTTTTTTTTTTTATCATTGTAAGTTAAGAAAAATTGCAGTACCGGAAAAGATGACTTAACTCTCCTTTCTCCATCCCATTTCCAAACAATTGTCTATTTCTTTCTTTATCAAAAGAAAGGAAAGAATGGAATTCATTCAATTTTCCGGTTCAGGACCTAAGTCATGGAGTTGGCCATGTGGGATCCAGTGCCTTTACTTTGCCACCCACTGGCCCAAGAGTAATTTATTCTTACCCTCTCATGTTGCAGATGATAAACTAAGGAATGTATGAGAGGCCTGGATTCCTTTTTTTTTTTTTTTTTTTAATAGCTAGATGGGGTCACACTTGTTAGAAAGAGGGTGAGACAGACCGAGGAGAGAGAGAGCACCTTGCAGGGGTGGTCAGAATGCAATTTCTCTGTTTCTCCATCCTGTCAGGAATAGGGGCACACATTCACATGTGGTCTGTATGTTTTTCAAGCCACTAGAGCCAGTACTCAAACTGTGGTTGGCCGTGTGATATCTGTCTCCCTTAACCAATAGGCTATGGGATGACCCAATTTTCTTTTTTCTGTAGCCTTTTCTTTTATGAAATTTTTATGATTTTAATATTGTAATCAAGGTTGAGGGATTACATATATATATACCATCTTCTCCTAAAACTAAATATAATGACATGTTTTGCAATCATTTCATCCTATCTGATTATTTTTTATAGTATTTGGTAAAATAGTATAGTGGAAAGACAAAGCTCTACTTTGGATTCCGAATTTGGCATTTACTTATTTTTGACCTTGAACTTAGTGAGCCACAGTCTCTTCTTTTGTAAGATGAAAAGTAACTAATTATAGTTTATGGGTAACATGAATTTGTAACCATAATATTGGGTTGTCGAAGAAGTCATAGGATATTTTTTTCTATGCAAAAATGCATCATGACTTTTCCGACAACCCAATGTATTTAAGATGTTAATAGGTTTCATATGGCCAGCGGCTTGATGTAAAGGAAGGAAAAAAGTCATGGCTTTCAAGCCTTTGAATCCTTGTAGGATAAAATTTCTAACTGTCGTTATGCAGGTCACTCATCATTCCTGAGTTTTCCTCGTCATCCATAAAATAGGTGTTGTAATCCCTGTTGTGGGCTAAAAATGAATGCTAGTGAAATAGCAAGTACTTGAGTTGTTTGTTGCTTAAAAATTTTATTGATCTGCCTTTTTAAACATATTTAAATTTATTCTTGACCATTTGCTTTTTTAGGTTTGGCCTCATGATTTTATTACCATTTTCATAGGCTGTTTTTATGTTAAAGGTCAACCTTAGAACTAGAGTGTATCTCATCTACCTCATATTTCCCTCTTAAGAATTTAATAATATATGTATAGGAAGCATTTTTTAAAGGTCAGCCATGGATTATCATTGTTCTTCCTTATTCTTTTAATTCAGAAGATAAGCTCCAGGCAAAGTGAAATAAATCTGTTATAACCAATGTATCAAAAGCTAGAGAAAAATTTTCTATAAGTGAGAGAGTCTAATTTTCACCTGAGCTGGAGAGGTGGAAAATTTGATAAAACCAGTTAAGGCAATGTGTGGAGGTCAGGTAGTCCTAAATTTAAATTGCTGCTTTACCATTTCCCACAGTTATAATTTTGTGTGTGTTAGGTAGCCACTCTGCCTGCAAGCTTTGTCATGTACAAAATCCAGGAAGTGATGTCCCTTAACAACCAATGACATACATTCATAAGCAGCTGACACAGAGACTGAAAAATAGTTTGATCTTGTAAACCTACTAAAACCATTTGGTAGTGGTCGAGTGAAGTAATATGTTAAGGTTCCTTGAGAGACTTAGTGAGAAAAAATTCTACATGCCCAAATGTATAGAAGAAGAGTGTTTGAATATAGTTAGACATTTGCCAGGTTGGCTTGCTACCTAATTCATAGTAAATACTCAATGCATAATTGTTGTCATCACTTATTTTCATACTTAAGCATTTTTTATACTTCTTAAGTGACATTTAATCACTGTGCATCTTTACAGCACACAAAATGAATTTTCCCAGCAAGAATATACTGCAAGTACATTGCTATTATTAAAAAACAGTGAAAGGTTATATGAAGTTTTCCAAATTGAAATGAGTAGTACTGAAGTAAGTTAGTTAACAGTTTTCATATACTTACCAAGATACATGATTATATCATATTACTTCTTTATAGGTTTTTATTTTTTCTCTATCTCATAAGCTTTACAAATTAATAAGCTGCTTATGAGCTCTTATGAAAATGGGCCAGCCACTAAGTAGCTACAAATTAATATTTCATTTAAAAATAGATTTTAATAATGATAGATTTCTGACTAGGAAGAAAAGTAGTATACTTTCTGAAATTATTTTTAGATATTTACAACTGAAATACAATAAAGATTTGGATCTCAAAAGAATTCTGAAATTGGAGTTCTTTCACATTATTTTTCTGTACAGAAGATTTTCTCTTACTATTCTACAAATTAGTTTAATTTTTTAAAGTGAAAAGTGGAAACCATAAAATACAATGGTTATACAACCTTCAAAAATGAAACTATTGGCACTTGAAGAACCAAAGTAGAATTTCAGTAGAATTTGAGTCCAAATGCAACCTGTCATAGAGCCCCACCTCCCATCTATGTTTATAGTTCATTTTAAAGATAAATATTTGAATACAATTTAAGTACTTTAAAATTTTCAGTACTATAAGGAATGTGGCTTCTTTTCCATTTAATAACAGAATCATATTTATTATTGCTATAATGTTAAGTGGTTTGCATAGTCTAAGAAAAACAACTGTTTGCTTCATTGGGAAATATTTGTTAAATCAACATGACAAGCAAAATCTATCTGATAGGGTGTCAGTTTCTATAGAAACATTAAGTAGAAATAATTAAATATAGAAATATGGAAATTAAAAAAAAACATTCTTAATCTATCCTTGTTAGACTTAGTGAGTATATGCGTATTCAATATGCTTTGATATTTGTTCTTTGCTTCAGTATTACTTGTATCTTGCCCTAACATGTCATTTAACCTAACCAACAACTTAAATGTAGACATGGTTAAACTTAGGAAAAAACAAAACAAAACCTTTTCCAGCTATCACTTTTGTGATCAGATAAGTTAAGGGACTGTTCTGAGAAACTAGAGATACTCAGATACGTGTGAGTAGATACATCCATTTTTGTGCATGTTACATATTATTTGTCAATATTTTTTACTAACCAGCTGAATAAAGTTCATTCCAAAGGTCAGGAGACTTAACCCAATTTGAATTATTAAACATATTAGTTTTGACAATACTGTGCAAGTACAAGGAGAAAATAATCAAAAGAGAGCAAGTTTTTTGAAACAAAGAAGTAAAACTAACATGGATAATGGATAATAACATTAGGTAAAGCCTCTGATTAGGCCTCTAAATGGAAAAAGCTATCAGGATTATGATTAGTTAAGCTTTAACCTCTATTTGGAAAATAGTACAAGTTATTAGTCTGGTCTCAGAAACTGAGTAGTGACTACATCTGCAGTGTTTATTAAGACTGCAGTATTTAACTGAAATACATAAATCATGTTAAAACACATTTTTGCATTAGTTGAAGTTGAACATTCTTCCCCGCTTATAATAACATATGGAAAAGAATGATAATAAACAGGCAACTGATAGGTATACTTTTGGCTTTATTTCCATTTTTTTTCTCCTGCTGAGCTGTTGGTGAAATGCTGCTTGGTAGCTAATATTTGTAGAACTTGAAAGAAATGACTAGTGGTTGAAAAGTCCCAGACTAGCTTTGTATGTGGTGGTGGTGGGCATCTTCGGTATTTGTCATGTACTCATTGACTTCTTCAAATGACACTGCAAAATTTATATCATAACTAACTTACAAAATGCAAACAATTACTGAAAATTAAAATCCAACACACTGTTTAATCCAAAATGTTTTTAGCTCTTTTAGTTAATCTTACTCTCTCAACAAGATTGTCCTTGGAGGACAGTCTTAACACTATCTTTGTGTAGCCTCTGCATGAGGCTCTTCATTTAGTAGTTATTCTATACATTCTTGAATTTCTAAAAGGTCCAATAAATGTGAATAAAAATAACAGATGAAAAAATAACAGATGATATACAGAAGAAACTTATGTAAACATTTTTCTCAAAATAAGTAAGAGAAAATGGTCATAAAAGACATTTTTGGAAATCAGGTGTTCCTAGGCTAAAAATCAGTTTTACTTACTTGGCAATTTTTTTTACATTAGCGAATGCAGTCAATTTTCCAAACCGAATTTTTTTTCCCATCTATAAAATGGAAATCATGATAACTTATTTGGGGAACAAATGAGAAAGTGGATGAAAATACTCGTCACAGCATATGAAATTCCATAGAGTATAAACATGATGATAATAATGTTAAAAATGGGTTGCAAACCTGTCCCCTAAGTTTGATCTAAATGATCCTCTCTGCAGGTGAAGCTTATATGCGATTAAGCAAACTCCCCGAAGCAGAGCATTGGTATATGGAATCACTGAGATCCAAGACTGACCACATCCCTGCTCATCTCACCTATGGGAAATTGCTAGCACTGACAGTGAGTAACTCCTTGGAAATTTCTATTCTTCTTGCAGATTGGGATACCTGGAGTTTGGGGCATTGGTTCTGAGCTGATTAACTCTGGTTGTTAGGAATTGATGGTGGTACTGAATTAGAACCTTGTACAAAAAAATGGAGAAAATGTATTACATTGCTTGTGGGATTTGGACTAGGTAAAATGTGAGATGTCAAGATCCTTGATGAGATTAATGGAAAAATATGGAATGAGAATCACAATTATGTGATTATGTAATGAGCTTGTTCTAAAGCAATATTTGCATAAATATATTTTTTATTTCTTTTTCTTTTATTAAATTTAATCACAGTACATCTTTATGGCATGCAAAATTAATCTTCCTGGCATGAATATATTGTAGATTAAACCAAAAACAGTACCATACTTATCAACAACATATAATTTTCCAGTTTTATGTCTGTTAAATGTTTTGCCTGTTTTCCACCTTGATTCCCTCCCTCTTGTCCCCAACTGCCCACCCTCCTCCCAGTGTCCAGTACTCATGCCTTCATACCTTCCAATCTTTTAGTTTCTGTCCTGGAGTGCAAGCATTTCGTATATATTGAGTGCGGATATACAAGGCTTCTCTTTTTCAGTCTTGCTTACTTCACTTGGCAATAAACCTTCCATATTTATCCACTTTCTATCAAATAATCCCATCTGAAGGATTTTTTTATTTTATTTTTTTACAAACTAGTGTTATCAACCAATTGACTATAATTAGAAGTAAAACTGAGTCATTCCAGTACAATTCTCTATATGCTGGCATTCTTTCTCATTAAAATCATTCTACAAGAGAAGTGGTACGTCATTTGGCTACCCTCTCAGTGACTTGTAGTCTTGGGGACCACAGTTCCATGGGAATGACGTTAATACAATACATATTAAACTGCTGATATCCTTTCACTGTGATCTACAAAAGTGATAAGTTTATGTATTTAAAAGTAATATTAATGTTTTTATTTAATGAAATAATAAATGTTTACAATTTTAGGTAAATTTTCTGAACTCACACAGCTAATAAGTGGTAGAACTAGGTTTCAGTTCTGGTCTGAATGGAATATCAACATATTAGTTACATTGCTTGATCTTTCTCCAACATTAATGAAAAATAAGTAAATATTTGAAAAATAGTAAGTGGTCAGTAAGATGATTTCTAAGTAAATTCATGTAAAATTGTCTTAGAATTATTTCCAAATAATACATTTTTCTTTCCATAGAATATGGTAAACACTTAAAATTATAGTGTGTCCCTTCTAAGATACCACTAAAATTCTCTTAAATCATAGAGGGAAACTAGGTAACCAAAAAACATCACCACTATAAACAATCTTAATTTGCTGAATAAAATGTAAGTGATATGCTTTTAATGCTTAGCTGAGCTCAAAAATTCGTAGGAGAGTTTCCCAGGAACTAGTAACTGAATAGAAGAATGGTGAACAGTAGGCTGATTTTGCAACTTATTTGATATCATGTGCCCATTGTAGAAACCGGTTGGATGGGGCTTGTTTAGTTAGTTTATATTCTTTTTGGAGTAGTAGATGAAGCTTTAGGCTATTGGAAAGCCAGGAATTAAATAACTGAATAAAGCAGTGAAATCTATATTCTCAGTGAAAAAGTAAGTTTGCATACTGGTACAAGAAGGCAGCATGGAGCCAGCAGTGGTATGGGGGGGTTAAGTCACTGGACTCCCATATTGGCAGCTATGGTTCAAGTTCTGAAAATCACACTGGGTGCATGTGCATGTATGGCCAAAAATCCCAGAAGAATGGAGAAGGGATTACCATGTGGTCATACCCCACCCCCAGGCAGTGATTTCTCACTTTCCCTCTCACTGTCTCTCTCTGTTTCTCTTCAGTGGTGAGCACATGCACCCCTTGACAAAAACCTTAAAAAAAAAAAAAAAAGACAGCATGAATATTTGCCTGTCCCAGTTTAGGATCTGGATAGAGAATGAATGAAGTCGCCATTGGGGATTTGTCACCACTATCCTTTCTTTACCTAGACTTTGGGTTTGGATTTTTTATTTACCCACATGATCCAGAGATTCCCAGGTCCAGAAATTAAATAAAAATCAGTCCACTAAAATCTCTTCCTGAAGAAATTACTGAAGATGTCTTCCAAAAAACATAAGTGACAGAGTGAGATACAAAAAGAGTGGCTAGCAAAGAAATTAGCAGTCTTGTGGGTAGATTAGAATAAGCTTTCTATGCATAAAATATTTTGAAGAAATGACTCCAGAGAAGCAATCAGAATGGGAGAGGAGACTTCAGTGGATAAGATATTTAAGCTGATTTTTGGAAGGCAGCAAGTAACAGAACTATTACAACTAATTTGTCAGAGCATAGCAAATGATAATCTAAAGGAGCTTTGGAGGAGGGTAACAATGAAAAGAAATCTTACTCCAAAGTATCTTGCAGAAGCTTAAAACTTAAAGGCTGCTGGCATGGTAAAATAAGGGGTATCTTGGATAATCCACATTGCTAACAGAAATACTTACAACTGGGTGAATTTAAGAAAATAGGAATTTATTTTGACTCAGTTCTGGTTCTAGAAGGCCAAAGGTATCACACAATGGTCATAAGCAGGACGTGTAGCTGAATAAAGCACAGTCTGTACCCATGTATCTTTTCCTTTCTCTTGTTCTGGCTTCATTTCCCTTGGCATACAGACCCACCAGAACTCAATTATGGGCACCCTGGCCTAATGACTTTATTATACCAAAGGCTCCACCTTTGAATACTATAATCATATTAAGTTTTCACCCTCTTCATTGTGCTACAGGGTCTGAGCACATGAATTTTTGGGTACATAATCAAACTATAGCAAGGAGCATAAAATAGGGTAACCGGTTGCGACCTGTTAATGGAGCAGTCAGGCCTTTCCATGGTATACACACATGCCAGTGCTTAGACACCCACCTCCAAGGTAGGAGAAAGAGAACTCGCAGCTATTGTAGATGCAATGAAGAGATGTGTGAAAAGAAGGTTGATTGAAGGTCATTCAGTGAGGTGTTCAGGTATGTAATACCCCTTCTGTACCCTGTGTAGAATACAAGCAATGTACTGTTTATCACCAACATACCCTTCCCCCTCATAATTTGTCCCTAATAAATTAATTCACTTCTTATCTAGAAAATCTGAATCTATCTATCTATCTATCTATCTATCTATCTATCTATCTATCTATATGTACACACACACACACCTAAGTTTAGAAGTCCGCTATAAATCACTAGTTCCCAAACCAGATACATAAGAGCCAATCTATCCTTTCTAGGAAGCCTACCTATACCTTAGAAACTTAATTTAGCTTATGTTAACTCATTCTTAAATAAGCAACCAAAGATCATCAAACATATTAGAGAAGCTTCATATGTAAAAGATTGTAACTAAAACAACATGTTAGAAGAGGGAAGCCTCAAGAAACAGGAAGCAAAATCTTTAAATCAGTAATAATCCTTAGAAAGAAATGGTAGCATATAGCTGAAGCAGGAAGCCATGAATAAAAATGAATACTGAAAAGAATAAGAGCTTTTAGAAATTAAACATAAGGGGACCAGCAGATGGTGGAATGGTTATGTCACTGGACGCAAACTTAGTTGACTGCAGTCCGAATCTCGGACTCGGTGGCTTGAAACTCACTCTGAGCACATGTGCAAGTGTGCCAGAATCCCAGGAGGAAAATGGAGAAAATGGGCTTGTGGTATGACCATTCCCCCGGGGGACGGGGGTGGGGGGATCTCTCTGTCTCTCTGGTGAACACGTGTGTGCTATAGGAAGCATCTCTTTAAAAAAAAAAAGCAATTAAACATATGATAGCAAAACTTTTTCTCTGAAGGCTAAGAGAATAAAGGTGAAAATATTTTCCTTTATGCATACAAAAGATGAGAAAATTTTTAGAAAGAAGAAGAAATTATAAAAAAAAAAGTCAATGCGGAGTCCAACAGAACAGAGTTGGGAAAAGAAAACATAACTTACAATTGAAGATTACAGGTTGCTATTTCTGCCATTAACCACATGACAATATGTCTAGGTTAATCACTGAGGAAAAATAGTTTTGTCTTATGAAAACCTGTTCCAGTTTTTGTCCTGACAAGATGATAATTCACACAACTCTACGTAAAAATAGGATTAAAATACTTGCCCATCTATAATCTAACATGTTCTTGTAGAATTCCAATAGAAATATTTCAAATTAGTTTGATAAATGACTGCCTTGAAGAATATCTGTAAAAGTTTCAGAAGCAGAATTTAATCACCAAAGTAAGTTAGAAAATAAAAATTTTGAAACATTAAATACGTATAATTCTGAATATGCCTCGACCATGATACTCCATGTAGAAACCATGTGTCCTTTTTATTTTTCTTTATGATTTTCAAGGCTGAATATTTTAAGTTTCCTGGGCCAAAAGTGTGATTTTTAAAATTGCTTCATTCTTTTTAAAAGACTTTTTTTTAAATAAGATTTTAAGGTTTTAATTTATTAAAACATATGGAAGAGAGTCTTATATATTATAATCCAAATTTTTAATTCTCCCCCACATCAAGATCTTTATGGTTTCTGACTTGCTGATTAGATGAAATAGAAACCCTATTATGAAATGGCTTAATCTTGTAGTGCCAAAACCCCACAACCATCCTTTACAGTTTCTTTTGAGGTTATGATATTTGGCAAATTTCTGATACCACTGGGTTGACTTTGTCTAATTTTGGATTTCTTGGCCTGGTAATATACCATTGACTTAAGATAGAATTGGCAAGGTTGAAAATACCGCACATTTTGACTTCCCAATATATTATAAAATGAATTGGCAATTAGTCTCAAGAGAAGATGAATAGGTCTAGAATGGTGTCTTTACCCCTTCATGATAATTAACGAAAGGCAAAATACATAAATGGGAATGCAACTGTACTAGACTTAGACTGTACAGTAGGGTTTCATACAAGAATTATATATTAATAAGACAAATTAGAAAAAAA